AGGGACTGGATGTGGATATCACCAAACGGACTAACAATAACAATGGGGGTCATTAGCTTTCATGTAATCCTTTTTGAAGTCTCCTCCCGGCAATGAGGAAAAGGGGGTGAGAATGTAATGCCTGGGATTGTCGCTGGGAGAAGGGGGTGACGGGGGTGTGGCTAATGGGGGATCCCTTAAAACCTTGAATGGGAGAGCTCGAACCCAAGTCCTGTCTAGAACGCCTGCATCCAGCTTTCTCTTAATAAAGATGCCTGTTGGAAGAAATATTCCAGGAGTTCTGTCTTCTTAAGATGCAAAGTGGGGTGGGTCCTTACACAATGTTTTGTAAAGTCTGTGATCAGCAGAAGCAGGAAAAGTGCTGAATGTCAATGCTGGAGTGTTAAACCAGAATTATGGGGGGGGGTCTGTACACACAATTCAGGGAATTCTATCAAATTGCTATGGTTAGTGGCAATGATAAATATCTTGGACTGTGTGAATTATCAGACTAATCTGGTATAGCACTACTATACATTATGACAGGGAAAGATGCCCAGTATCTAATGGCCCTTGCAAGGCTTTAAGGAAAAGGTTATTGTCACTGAACACTACACCCAGCAGTTTACTGTGGAAAGATGAAAGGCAAATAAGCAAAGGTGACAGCTTTTCGATGCATTACAAACAATGTAAAGTAAATGCAATGTTCCCTGCTGAAACTGAAAACAATAAAAGTAATTCCAACAAGCAAGAGCAAGCAATATGATCTGTAAAGAAGCTCATACTGGAAAAAAAACAGCTTACTGACAAAACATTTCTCAAGGCTAGATGGTTGTATAAAATCTTTGTTCAGTCTACCTTTGTTTAGCTCAGCTGTAAAGAACTTCTATCTAGAGTTGAAAATGGAACATTTGTCAAGTCTCTCTACGATCATTTTATAAAGCCTGGGAAGAAAAAGCAAAGCAGAAAAGTGTCTACCTTTCCATTCTTTGCAATCGCATCCATTTCCACCTCTCGAGCTCCTTCAATGAATTTTGTTAGGACAACAGGGTGCTCCTGTTATAAAGAGAGAATATATTCGGTATTCAAGTTAGTAAGTACTTTTAGAAATATTTAATTGAAGTGGAGAAGTAAAGTTAAAAGAAAAAAGTGTAAGAAAATGGCTCTCACAAAGCTTTCATGGCTCTAGAGAGTTTAAAATGGAAATAAAAATACTGTAACAACACTGAAATCAATTATACACATCTCACTAATTTTAAAGGAATGCAGACCTTAGCGTACACTTGGCTGTCAAAGTCTGCACTAAATTTCTTCCTGTGTGGAAAGTCAGTCATTCCCTATCCTCACCCTGCCATCATGAGTGAAATTGGCAATTGTAGGCTTCAATTTTATATTCCTGCAGAGACTTCTTTTCCAACCATCACACTGTTCTTGATCCATGACACGTTGGGAAGAAGGAAGAAAAACATAGATAAATTCCAGCCTGCCTCCCATAATTCCTATATACAATCTGCTGTAGAGTTGATAGGAAATGATATAGTCATTTTTACAGTATCTCCCAGGTGTCTCAAAAATTTTTAATTTTTAAATAAGAATGTAAGTAAGCAGTCCTTTCTGCAGAATATAGTTTGCAGACAAAAAGGATATGCCCAATGTCTTCAGCAATTGGTGTTCCACAAATACACTGTCTTTCTTCAAATGGAACTCTATGAAACCTCCCCTCTGTTACCAGGGAGTCTAGTTTTTGGAAACAAGCTCTTCTAAGAAGTTGAGGCATATTGGTTGTTAAATACTTCTCTAACTGGAAGGCTGATTTGTGTTGAGCCAGCCACTTCAAGGACTCAACATGTTTAAGTAGTGCAAAATCATATTGGGCACTCACATCAATGACACTTTGTTTAAAAGATTTTTTGGCCTTCAGATCTGATTGGGCTTGGAATTGGATAGAGAATCCACACTGTGAGGTGGCATTTGAAAGTAAATTGGCCCAAGCACAGTTTGGGTGTCTATCTGGGTCAATAGATAAGATCTTCAGCTATTAGTTGAATAGTTTAATTATTAGATGGCTTTGTATAGCAAGTGTACCCAGCTCTGCTCTTACTGCTGGAGTCGGTTTAGATTTATCTATCCCCAAGAATCATTTTTTTTAAAAAAAGTAGACTATATCTAAACCAGTAAGGGGGCATTTATATATCCCAACAGCTGTACGTCATATGTGATCAAATTCACTTGACAGTGAGTGGCATATAAATTTAATAAATAAATAAAAATGTTGCTGTTATATACATTTATGATTGGAGTTAGACAGAGTGGGTAGCTGTGGTTAGTGAACTGCCTTAATGGTATAATGTATATACCTTACAGAATTCTTAAATGTGGGAGCCAAAAATCTGTCTCTACAAAACTATTCCCAAGTATAGATAGGACTAAATCTGATCTATATGTTCCTTATGCAGGCTCTACTTATACTTATACTCCACCCCTTCCTGAAAAAAAAAACCTAGCTTGGTCCTAGACATATTGATATTCAAGTAGTTGAATGCACAGTATGAACTAAACCTGTGCAGCAGTCTTCTTATCTCTACCAGGGTATATGGCATCTGTTGTGGCTCCATCTTGTGAGCCCCTCTTATCGGAGGAAGAAGGCTCCGAACATGAAGGAGAGGAGATGGCCAGGCCTCCCTCTCCAGGACCCTCCTCTTTGGCAATGCCTCAGGTGTCTCCCGACGGAGAAGAGATTGACCAGGAGCCAGGTGGTTCTGAGATTGGCCAGGAGCCAGGTGTTTCTGAGATGGGCCAGGAGCCAGGTGTGTCGGACAATGAGGAAGAGTTGTTGTGGCTGGATCCACGCCAGCGTAGGAGCGACAAGCGTGCGCAGCAGAAAAAGAGACGTGCCAGAGATTAAGCTGAGTCACTGGACCACACCCCACAGGCTATAAAAGGGTGGTGGTGGCCATTTGGACCTCTGTGACAGACAAAAGCTGAATCTCTGGCAAAGTAGTTTGCTGTGGCTTTAAACTGTGTGTATTGTTTTTGTTTCTGTGTGCTTGGAGTAAAAGGTCTTGGCAGGCAGCTACGGAGCGGCTGCCAAGTTTCTTATCTGTGAAGTGGTGTCTGGAGAAGTCTTTAACCCTCGGCTGGCTGTTTGGGTGTGTGGGTCGGAACGGGGACANTTCAAAATTGTACCACGAAATGCCTTAGACAGCAGTGAATGAGTATCAATGGCACATACTGTACACCCATGAGGCATCAGACAAGGCAGGTATTATACGACTTCCTCTAGCCTGGGCTGCACAGCAAACAGCAGCAACAGACTTAGCTGATTTTTTGCCAGGTGTGCATGAAGAAACAGAGGGCTTCTTGGAAAATGTGTCATTTATTATTATGATCTACTATTTTCTACATTCAAAAAGGCCTCACCAGCACATCATTTCCCCTGACGAGAAACTGGATATTGAATGGTCCAGAGATAGCAAAGGCATCAGCAATCTTTCTGGTTGCAATTTTCACCTATAAGAGTACATAAAAACACCTCATTAATAATTCAGCCAAATAAGTCCATTAAAGGTAAAATAAATAGAAACAAAATAAAATAAAGGTTAATTTTACCCCAAGTAGCCTGAGAAATGTGAGTGTAAATTCAATGAAAGCTCTTATTAAACTTATTCTAGTTATAAGTCATTAATATTGATTTAATTTTATTTTATATTTATCTACATCATACCATAATATTTGATATTCTGCTATGTTTGTCTGATGCCTAAATGATGAGCAAGTAAAACAAGGAGAACTAACAGGAGGACAAGGGGGCGGGGGGGGGCAAGGGTGGTAGATGAGTCCTTAGCAGAATTCCCTTCTAAATCAAGAAGTTGTATTCACACTTGCCTGAGAAGAATTAAAAGTTGCATTGTATCCCAAGGACTAAAAGTGCAGATGAATTGTCAGAAGACTACAATTATGATGTGCAGTGCTTATGCCATGTTCATCTTCCTGCCTGATAACCATCAGGCATATTTTTGCACAGCAAGTGCAAGCTTATAGCAACCCTTGATGAAAATTAAATGACTGTAGTAGCAAAGGACAAGGATTTATCAGTTCAAAGAAAAGAGGCACTAAAGCAAAAGTAGGCAATGGCAGTAACTCTTAATAAGGAGGACAGTCAGAGGAGCCAGCCCCAGTGAATGAGAATGGAAATGAAAAGCAAAAGTACAGTATATTCTGCACGGCTGAAACTCAGAAACAGTTTTAAGCTGTTGCAAATGAAGCAGGCTGTGAGAGGGAAAGGGGAAAAAAAAACATTGCCAGGCTTTCAAGATTAATGTCAGCCCTTCAAGGTAAGCCAGGTCAAGAAATGGACTTCACAAGAAATACTGGAACTCTATCTTATTGAGAGAGGCTATAGAAGAGAATCTTGAAAACCTGACAATGTTTTCTTTTTCCTCCCTGTTATACCAAATAAAATGAACTTTAAGTTTCTTTCCAATGCCATTTGCATTCTCTGCCTTAATTCATGGCCTCCGCAAGGTCATCTCTGTGGTTTTCTGCAACTTTATAATTAGCTTTATAATTAGCATGTTCACTTGCTATAAGATTGTTCTACTCGTATGCTAGATATTTGCATGTATTCTTTGTTGCTACAACTTTAGATAAAATCAGGGAGCCAACATGATATGCAAGACAGCTAAGTCTATGAATTGGTGTATATTATGGAGTGATAAAATACAAACAATGTTGCTTTCTCCAATCTAGTGCCCAGATATATTGGACTTCAGCTTCCACCATTTCCCAACTTTTACCACACTGAGCTGTGTCCAGTAATTTTGGAGGACCAACAGGCTGATGAAGGAGGTTCTGAGATACATTCTAGCAATTTCCTTTAAAAAAAAAGAAAAGCTGAGAGAGATACTGGATGCTACTCTGTAGCCACAAACAATTCTATTGTATCAGCTGTACTGATCATCAGAAAAGTGTGCAACTATTTTATTCAACATTCAGCTGGTTTAATATTCTGATAAATACTGTAGTTGAATGGTTTTCAGATGATTTTTTAGAACTTCATGCAGTTTAGCCCCATGATACTCTTCTTGTATAGTTAACCAAAGATTGACCTTCTCTAAAGCTCCTTGGCTAATTGTTTGTGCAGGAAACATCAAAGTAGCATCTCCAGAATGAACTCCTGCATCTTCCACGTGCTCAGAGATGGCATGGCAGATAACCTGTTCCAAAGAGCCAAGAAAATACAGTCATTTTACAGTATATTGATTTAGTCAGATCTAAACATGCAATCTATAACAAATGAAGTTACTATGAACCCAGAACATGCATTCATTATATGAATACATCTATTTAACTGGATTATTTTTCTTATTTTTCTATTAATTATTTACTGGCTTCAGAAAAGTAATTTAGCACAACGGTAAGGAGCTGAGCAATTGATGAAGAAATTTGTATCTCACACATCTCATGAACTTAGAAGAGTTCATCGACACTGACATCATAAGACAGAAAATATATGCATACCATTTCAAGCACTAATAATGGTTTATTTTCATTAATAATATTTATTATTACTACTACCAAATATATCTACTAAGTCCTTTGAATATGCATAATGTCAGAACAGCATAAGAGGACTTTGTAGTTTCTAAGCACAATCAACATTGGTGGACTTATAAAATCCTGCTCAACATACCTCTCCAGAAGGACAAATTTTGCTCTATTGAGTAGAAGGGATTAATGGGAGACTTAGAGGGATCATTCAGCCTCTTTCATTTATTCAGCCTCTTTCATTTATTCCTGACTAGAAAAGGAATTTCCTCCTTTTTCTCTTTTCATTCACCGTAAGAAAAAAAAAGCTCAGAGATACATTTTTTTTCATAGTGTGTCACTTCTTTAATAGACCTGACATGATGCTCAATGGACTTGGTTCTGTACTTCACATGTATGGTCTGTTGAATATGATTCAGTGATTTAGCTAGAGGATTTCAAGCAGGGCTCTTCTTTACGCAGAAGAGAGTTATAGAACCAAGGAATGAGAGAACTGCCAAATTAACTGT